CTTTAAAACATTAGTCACCAGTGGTTTTGTGGACATTGCAATACTCTCAGATTTGAAATAACTTGTATCTGGCTTCTTCGGTGCTGGGGCATTACGTACCGAAATACTACTGACTGGAAAGGAATAGCATTCATTTCTATCATTTCCAAAAGGTCCACAAGGTGGCGCTACTCTCCCAATGAGTTGGAGAGGAAAAAGCCAAATTAAGTCGAGTGAAGCAGCCTCGCCTGGAGTCACAGAAAATAATCGATTCATTTCATCAGCATAAATAATCTGTAGTATCTGCTCTGAGTATGTTTTTCATTTTTATTATCTTTTCCCAAGTAGATATAGAATTTGGGTCAGCAATAGTTGTTCAATATAAGTATTTACACAGGAAAATATTGTAATAGATGCATCCTTGGGTTGTTGTAGTAGTAGGAGACTGAGAGATTTGTGTGAGGTGCACTGAGTTCCTTGGAAGGAAAAAGGCATGGTATAAATATAATTAAATATTAACAGTGGAGTCTGGGGACTGAAGTAGAGAGAAGTATGCAGTAATACTCAAGATTTTGTTATGTGAACATTTTATATCATATGTCTATAAAAAGCACCAGGTGGTGTACAATATAGCAAATCAATATGTAAGGATCAAAACAGCAATATACCCCATTTTCAACCCATTTAAATATACAAACTACTGAAGCTACAATCCTTTGGCTTCCTGACCTTCCTTTCAACATGGAATGCAGTCCCAACTGCAACCTGGCAAGGTTCTTTCTCTGCCAGCTGGGAGTGCAGAGGGGGAGTTCCTACCATGCCAGAAGGGCTCCAAAGATGTAAGACCATCTGTTAGGTCAGGATGGGGGTGGGGTCTGAGGAGCAAGAAGAGAGAGAAAGGGGACATTGCCATCCTCTGAAGAGCCCTAGTGGTGCCTCGGGATCCCCTCCTTGCAAGGAAAAGCATTCAGAGGACTGAAATTGATAGAAGCAATTCTAGCCTCTGCGTTCCTTGGATGCCAATAATCCCCCAAGTTCAGAGGGCTGGCACACTGAATGGCACTCTTCCACGTGCACATCAAGTGGGTCTCTGTGAGCAAATGTGTCCTCCAGAGGGCTTCTTTTACAGGTAAGCCAAGGAATCCTTTAGAGAGCCAGCCCATCCATTCAAGATTTTAAACATTAAAACTAAGATTTTGAATTGAGGTCAGAAAACAATTGACAACCAGTACAGATATTTCAATACTGGATTGAGACAATACCAACAGCAATCTAGCTGTGTCATTTTGCACCAACTGAAGCTTCTAGATAGTTATCACTGCAGGAGGAAGAACTGTGACCCCCCAAACTGTGGACTCCATCACCAACTGTGGCCTTCCAGATGTGTACAAAATGATGCACGGTGTGAAAAAAGTGAATAGGGACACATTTTTCTCCCACCCTCATATTAGAACCCAGAATTCTCCCATGAAATTGATCACTGGGAGATTCAGAAGACAACATATAGTCAAAGAATGAAATTGACTTCCACAATATGTAGTTATGGCTACTCCTTTAGAAGGCTTTAAAAGGGATTAGACACAGTCAAGGTGAATAAGGCTCTCCATGGCGAGATGGATCCTTGGTTTGATCCAGCGTGGTTCTCCTTTCTGTTCTTATGTTGGATTCAAATGCCTATCAGTCCCAGCCAGTTTCCTCAACATGGATGAGGAAACTTAGCTTTACAACGTCTCCAGAGATGAAAGTTTTCCACTCCTTCCCTACTCAACGGAGAACACTGCAACCGTCGGAACAAGATGCGAGCGAGGCACAGGTAACTGCTGCCAACGCAGACCAGGTGAGGACAAGCCGCGGCTGGCTCCGCGGGGCAGCGGTGGCGCCAACACGCTCCGAGCGCAAAGCGGCCTCGCGCCCCAAAAAACTCGCGCAGAGACCGCCCCACCGCGCTCCCCACGCCTGCCCTCCGCCGCGCGCAGGAGCCGCAGCCCCTCGCCCCCTTCCCGGCATCCCCTCCGAAGGGAGAGGCGGGGAGAGGGGCACGCCGCGGAGGCGCTTGGCTGGCGACGTCATCGGGGCGCGACGAGACGCATATTTAGACTCCCTGTGGTGGGGGCCGTTGGGGGTTGTGCGGGTTGCTCTGGCGCCGGCCAGTGGCTGCCCCTCCTCCCCGCCTGCTCGCGGGGCCGCCGCTGATGGTAAGCCGGGCAGGGGCTCCAGGGGGGCGGTGGGGCGTGGTCGAAGCGCCGAGGCGGCTTTCTTTCCTCCCTCTCGTGCGAAGGGTTCGGGCCTGCCTGTCTCGCCTCTTCCGGAGGTTGCAGCCTGAAGCGGCGCGTGTCTCTGTGTGTGTCTGAATGCGACGCGAGGCTCAAACTCTTGGGACCGGTTTTTTTCAGGCGAGCGGGCTCCCCCTTAGGCGTTGCAGCTGCTTGAAGCTGCAATCCGAAGCATGCTTACCTGGGAGTAAGCTCCAGTCCATCCAAGGGGGCTTGCATCTGAGGAAGCAGGCACGGGCGTGCGTTGCAGGCTTCAGTGCGGAGCGCGCCCGCGCATCCTGTCATTTACTTACGAGTAAGGCGAGCCCGTATGTGTTTAGGCTTAGTCGGAGTTCAGGCCCACTGAATTCGAGGAGGCTTATTCCTAGGGAGAATGCAGTACATTGCAGTCATAACGTGGCCTTTCAGTGGAAGGAAGTCGTATAAGGTAGCCATCTGCGAACAACTGAGATTCAGACCACGATCCACACGCTGCTCACACTGGGCTGCTTGCGAGGTAATTTTTGTATCTTCTGGGGTTTTTGCAGCGATTATGCGAAAAATGCATTTTAAAGTGAATCTTTGGGCTGTTGAGTTTATCCCATGAAGTAGATCTTCCTAATAACATTGGTAATCCATTTACAAACTGTACATGTGTTTATAGAGATAAATGTTCACGCTGGTTACGTTTATTTGTAATTCAATCTGAAGTATTACAAAGGCTATCTAAAGTTGGTGCTCCTATATATTCTTGGAATAAGAATTATTGATTTAATTGGGCTGCAGTGGGTATCTTGCTGGGCTAAATTGGTTGTGGATTTCAGTCTGTATCATAGTGCCCTGAGGGTAATGTGTAATCCAACTCCTGAGAAAAGAGGAGGGCCCTTTCTGAATGTGTGGTATATTAGTGCCCAAAGTTAGCTTCAGGACCTTCTCAGGTCCTTCTTTATTTCGAAAATCAGTTAAATGATGCTTGGGAAACTTCTCTTAAAGGCTAACCTTTGGGAGATGAGTGGGAATGATTTAAATTGCCATGAGAAATTTGGGATATGGATGGATCTGTTTCAACTTTTAATAGTGATTAGCAAGCTAGACTCAGGGTACAGTCCTGTACATGTTTAAACTGACAAAAATGCTGCAACTCCTCAGGCAGCCATATTCATCTGTAAACATGTTCAGCTGAGTGCATTCACAAGTTATTGTGATCAGAAACCCTGATGTGATAGGATTCACTACTGCAGGAACTGTGTGAACATGTTCTGCTGAACATACTTAGACATTTGTGCTAAGTATGTGAAGATCTGACTGAATACCAGGCACACAAGTACACTGTAGGTGGAATTTACACCCTCACCCTCCTTTGCACTTTAGCCATGCACATGAGCAGGCGAACATCTGCATTGATAGAGGAATTCTCCTGTGCCTTAACCCATACATGTCTGTTGCTTGTAAGCATGCATAATTTGGCATTGCTCAATTCTGATTACGGATCACATGGTGTGTCTGTTAAGGCATCAGCCATCCAGTTTCGTGGCTTTGCAGAGCTAGTCTTATGATGAAATAGCTGTAACTCTACCACAGCAGGATTTTTCTCATTGAATTTCCCTGGGCTTTAAAAAGGAACTTTATTATTACAGTGTTTTAAAACATACAAACAAGTCATTAACTGAGCAGATGCATACAAATGAATATGTACGTGTCTCAGTGTTCAGAGTAGTTTACTTCTGATTAACTACTAATCAGAAGTAAATGAGTTGAAGAGCATAGCTCTTTCATTTCTCTCCAATTCTTCATCAGTGATCTGTCAGTCAATGAGAGTGATTCCCTTAGCCTTCAAAAATCATCTTAGTTGAAATTTTCCTGCTACCCCTTCCCCCGCTGTCAAAATGCCATCAGGGACAGTGGATTTAAAACACTGGCATACTGGCAATATTCTAGCTTCACAATGAAACTGAGCATGCCTGGCATAGCTTTGCCAACCATTGGCGTTATAGATTTTCTGCCCCCCCCCCCCCAATAACATGTAACTCCTGCTCAGGCGCGACTTTGCAACTAAACAACAACAGAATCTCACAAAATCAGTGAAACACCAACCTGTTCAATAAGCCTGACTAAAGGACATCAATATTTTTCCCCATATATTCAAAGAGACACATGATCTGCCAAGCCACAGCTTGGAGTAAAAAACAGAAATTGACTATTTTTAGAACTACTTAATACATTCCATTTGTGGCTATTTGTATTGGATTGGTGTGAAATTCTGCAGAGTTTTAGACCTCATCAACTAAATTATAGATGCCAGGTTTCAAGTTATTTGCTCAACAAGTGTCATTTTTATAAGTAGTAGGATTTTGAGGGTGATAATGGTGCAACTTTTTTCTTTTTTTGCAGTTCACCTTAACTAAAATGGCATACTTGTGCCCCTTTAATTTATTGATCAAATAATCCAAGAAACTACAAGATTTAAGGCAGATCATAAATATACCTGAATACATGACATTATAATCACCAAAAGTATACTAGAAATAGTATCAAGCAAATTTTTGATAAAGTAACATTCCAGTTCCTTATCTTAAAATGTATCTGTGAAGATGACTCAAGCAAGAACTTCACTCCTGTTCATAGCACCAGTATCTAACCCTGAGAGATCCAATACAAGGCAGGCTTGAAGCTGATTTCAGAAGGACCGTTATGAAGGTCCATTTCCAAGAAGCTCCCCGCCCCCCAGATTAACTGACCCACTTATGTAAACCTGCTTATCCTATGTTCCATAAACATATTCTAACACTCAAAGATAGCTCATGAAACCTATATAACTAATCACTTCTCCAAAATACAGTACATCCTTGTCAATCTCACACATTACAATTCATTACAAGAGGAAAAAGTAAGGCCGGAGGCTAGGAAGGGTAGACATAGCAAGATAAAGAAGTGAAGAGAAAGAAATAGCAAAGCTAGAGGCTGGGCGGGGGGAGAGGAAAATAGCAAGGCATAGGAGTAGAACAGAAAAGAAATGAGAGAGAATAGGAGGAGGAAAATCAGCAAGGTGAAGAGAATGAGTGAAAAAGCAAGACAAAGGGGTAAATGGGAGAAAAAGAGCAAGGCTAGGAAGGGAGAGAAATAGTAAGGCTAGATGCTGCAAATGGAGAGAGAGATCAAAAGGGAAAAGGTCTGTGTGATCAGAAGGCTGGGTGCAACCAGAAAAAAACTCTTTCTTTCCCTTCCTGCCTGCTGGACAACTGAGCAGCAGGAAGTTCAGGAACATAGAGTAGAACCTGACACTATAATGTATTTCAAGTATTATTTATAATACATACAACTTTGAAGGCGGATGGGAGTGGAAGTCTAGGTCTCTGCAGCTGCAGAGACCTGGGGCCCACAGGTCTCCCCTAGGGACCTCTGATCTATATCTTAACAGTTGACTGTCCAATTTCTGCTTAAATAACTCCTGATGGTATCTGCTTCCCTGCAATTTCTACCATTTGATTTCTACTTTTGCCCCCTGGAGCAAAAGAGAACAAGTCATCTTTTCTCCAAGCACCTTTTACCATTCCTCAAAGGACCTGTTTCCCAGACCCTTCACTATCCTGTCCTTCTCTGTCACACTACACCATTCTTAAAATGTAGCACCTTGAACTGGAGAAATATTCCAAAAGCAGCCTAACAGCATATTATAGCATGGAACAATTACTTCTCTCAGTTCTAGCTCATCCTTACCACTGAGACCTCACAACTCCTGAAAAATCACTCCTGAGGATCAAGGGTCCCACCAGAATGGTATGAGATGGAATAATGAGGCTGGAAGACTTCTGAGCCAAGACAGAGGCATCAGCAGAATCTGGAGTGAGCAACTTTGCACGAGCAGAATTATTTTCTCACTTGATACATTAGTCACTTCTGAATCCAAGCAATAACATTTTCTGGGAGTGTGATGATCTCTAGATCAGCACTTAAAAAATTGAGAAAATGTATGATATTTGTGTTTCACATGTCCAAATTTTGTGTTTTAGTTGTTGCCCTTAAATGTCCAATATTTAAAATCTCACCAGGGTAGTAGTATAGAATCTTCAAATCAAATCAGTGGTGGTGGTATTTAATAAATTTATATTCTGCTGAGCATGTTTAAAAGTATCACCTAGACACTTTAGACCTACATTTGGCAACAGAAAACAGCACAGGAATGCTAGAAATATGAATAGCCTGGAGCTCTGCATGAGCTGAAATTATTTATGTTTGGGAAGGCTTATATGTGTTCTTTTCTTGACAGAAAGCAGTTCATGAAAAGGTTTGATCATTCTGAACTGTATCCAGTACTGTCATTGCACCTTAACCAGTTCTGTTGCATCAGTGGAGCAAACTACTGGGGCAGCAGGGATTAACAGTTCTTGAAATATCCCTGGAATTGAGCAGAATTCCAGGGCAGACTGCTCCAGACGTACCAGCTTAAGTTGGAGTGCAAGGACAAAATATATCCAGCTTTCAGACTGTGGCTCAAAAAGCTACAGGAAATAGGACCTTTAAACACAGAATAAGGCATAATCCAAATATGCCCTGTCCTCGATGCATGTAAATCTCTGTACTCGGAGACTTACATGCATCCATTGCCTGCCATGTCTTGTGCCCTGCTTTTCAGCTAGATAGCCGTTTTCAGCCATCTAGTTGAAGCACAGGAGAGGGGAAGGGAAGGAGGATGGGCCCCACTTGGATAAATCATAAGCCACCAGCACCAACTTCCTTCCCTCCCCTGACACACCCTTTTCCTCCTCTTCAAAGCTGTTTTGCTACTTCAGTGGGTCAGGGCAGTTCCTACACTTGAATCTTCCTACAGCTCCCTCCACTGACAAGATCAGGATTGCACCCTAAATAGTTTTAGAGTGATCTCCATTGTAGAAGTTTCAGAAATGGGCCTTGCCATTAAACATTCCTAATTCTCAGACTTGTTGATGCACTTCACATTTGATGAGGTATACAAATGCAAGCAGATTTTTTAATGTTCCTTTTTTGGTGTTTTTTTTCAACAGAAGACGATTCTGCAATAGAGTGCCTGAAACGGAAAAAAGACTACATCTTAGAAGAAAGCAAGATGGATAAGAAAGCATTTGAGATGGTGCTTGATGAAATTAGAAAGGTAATTTATGATTTAACTGGTATAGTTTTGTAAATACAGCACAATTGTTGCCTTTTGCTTATTTATTTATAGTATTTCTACCCCACCCATCAGCCCAAAGTCTCCCTGGGCAGTTTACAAATCAAAATTAGACAAAACAAATAAAACAGCAGCACCACAGTAATCCACCTTCTGCCACCACATTTAAAACAATCTCAGGGGTACAGTAAAAATATAAAGGATTAAGATAAAAATATACCTATTAAAATATGGGGAGAATAAAAAGAGTTAACGTGGCTCCAAAAGAAGCAGAGTAGGCACCAGGCACACCTTTTTGGGAAACTGATTCTGCAGATGGGGTTACACAACCAAGACGGTCCTTTCCTTTGTAGCCACCCTCCTTGTTTCTTTGGAGTGGCCTTTCTCGAAAGGAATGATGGTCTCAGGGGTCTGGTAGGCAAATTTGGAAGGAGGCAACCCTTCAGGTAACCTGGTCCCAACCTGCTTTAAATTTAATGTTAGCCCTTTCCTTTTGCTTTTTGCTCTTCCCTCCCCCCCTTTAGCATTTTGAATCAAATCCGGACTTCAATCAGTAACCAATGTACTTGACAGAGGACTGGCATGATTAATTCATGTCAGCCAGTCCCTGTTAGCAGCCTGGTTGCTCTATTTTGAGCGAATTGAAGTCTTCTGACCTTTTTCAAAGGTAGCCCCACTTAGAGCCCACAATAATCCAAACAAGAGGTTACCAGAGCATGGATCACTGTTGCTAGGCTCAGCCTGTCCAAATAGGGTTGTAGTTGGTAAATCAGCCTGAGCTGATAACAGGTGCTGCTAGTTACCAAATCCAGTTGTGATTCCAGTGACAATTCAGGATCTAGGAGCATCCCCAAACTACAAATCCTGTCCTATGGTGGCATAGCAGAATTAAAAGTTCAGGTTTTGGATCTGCTTGTTTAGAAAACTAATTATTAGAGTAGTGAAGCTTTGAATAAACAAATGTATAGATGTGTAATTTTGTAGAATTCCATGTCTTTAACATACAATGTTTATGGCTATAGTCTTGTAGCCACTTAATGTTAAATAAACCACATTGAGTTCATGTATAAAATTGCTCAGTAAGGTATATTTTGTATGCCTCTTTATGAACCAGTGATTCCCCTGATTTTAACAAGAGTCTAGTGATCATGTTTCTTTATGAATCAAATCCATACTTTGGTTTCTCTTTCACCCTTATGTGCAATTAAATTTACTTAAAGTTGGGAACTGACTTGGCAGTGAATGTACTTAAGACTGAAGTCTTTATCAAATATGAAGAGGGCCAAATGCAGAAAGTTTATTCATATCTGTTTCCTAGGAGACTGATAGTATTATTTCTTCAATCCTAGCCTTGTAAATGAACTTCTGACAAATTGTTGACAGCTGCTTTTTATATGTCTTATAGGCGGTGTTGATGGAATACAAATTAAAAGCTATTGAATACGTACATGGATACTTTTCTAGTGAACAGGTAATGCTGAAGAAAAACAAAAGTTATGAACCCCTTTGGAATATATGACTAAAGGCAAGTCTTACTACAGCAGGGGTCCCAGCCTTTTTGAGGGCTCATTTGGGAATTCAAGAAACTGTTGTGGACACCACCACAAAATGCCTAATTAATGGATCACCACTTTGATGTCTGCTGTCCCATCTGCGGATCATAGGCTGTATTTCACGTAGCAAAGCCTCTAGTTTCATGTCTAATGGACACTGCAGCATCTCTCTAAAGAGGGATTGTTTAATTTGGCTAATTGCTGGTGGTGCAACACAGTTAATTCTTCTTTTAAATGTTTGTTTTGGTTGTGTCTAATCATTGCTTCTTTTGGGGATGAGGTTATTATACAGATAAATTTTGTACTGCAACAGACTTTAATGTTTACAGATGTATGTATTCTTACCTGCTTCATAGAAATAAACAAATGGTCACTTTTTGGCAGCTGAAAGACTGATATGGCAACACTGGAAGGATAAACACTTCTCTCTTATGATGCAATGGTTTGGGGACTTTACAGTGCTTTCAGATTTTGAACAGATTGCACAAAGGATGCATATTTTGGATATTTTGTCCACTTTTGTTGAAGCTTATTTATACTTGCTAGAAAGTTGTATGCGTTTCACATGTATTCTGTGTTGTTTGTTATTATGTGCTACCAAGTCATCTCCAACTTATGGCATCCCAATGAATGCACACCCTTTAAAATGTCTTGTCCTTCATATCCCGGCTTAGTTCTTGTAAACTCATGGCAAGAACTTGAATTTACTTGATTCCTTTATGGAATCAATCTGTTATTTATCGCTATGAATATGTACAAGTCCATGTATGTATATTTTTAAAAGTGCAAAAATGGGGACCCCTTCACAGGCCCCTTGAAGATGCCCCGGGTGCCATGTTAGGGAGCTCATGCTACAGTATGGAAAATACTGCAAGCAGTGCCTGGTTTTTCCTCTCAGTGTGCAAGAGTAGATATATGTGGCTGTTGGAGATACTGTAGACATATCAGTACTTGCCTAATGCTGTAAATGTTCTCCACTATAATTGATTTAAGAATGACATTCTGTGAAACAGGAAAATAGGGGGTTTATAGACTCTAGAATTTGCTTGCGAGTTTTGCAGGGTGTATACCATTTGCTGAGACCTGACCTCCTTCCTTGTTCCAATAGTAGTAGCAATAGCAACTGTCAGTGGTGCTATACCTGCATTCATATTTGAGTTAATAAAACTAAATGCTGATTCAGAATCCAAACCCTACAACCTTAAACCTGAAATTAATTTAGAAGTTTTAATTTCTAGAAACTTTGAAATAAAATCACATTCAGAATTAAATTATTAGAAATCTTGTTAGACTTGTTCTCAGCTATTAAATAAACAAAATGTGGTTCTGCTAAAGTTTCTGAAAATGTTTTTATTTGTAGACAATTCAGTTCCAATAAATGAATTGTTACGTTAAGTGATATATGTACCTATATGATAAATTATAGCATTTCTTTTGTTGTAGATTGTTGAGTTACTGAGATACTTCTCTTGGGCTGAACCACAATTAAAAGCTATGAAGGCATTACAACATGTAAGTTTTTCATTAAAGCAATTATTTCATTGGGTTGTAGCCAATGTTATTCTAACTTAGGTCTCATTCATTTGGTGGGTCTATACTAAGTAGACTAACATCATATCCATCCCCTTGAATTGCATTACTTTGATCCTATTTCCCCTAAATGCAGTTACCTTTCCCACATCTATTTCGTGTTTATCAAACTGGTATGATCTGTGCTGTCGTTCAGACTTCTGTTTCCATACCCTGAAATGTTCGTTCTGTGAGCATAAAACTGATGCATATGATAGGGTTTGAAGCAGCTTATTTTTCTTTTGCTTCTAGAAAATGGTAGCTGTTTCTGCAGCAAAAGTGGTTAACATCCTCAACTGTTTCACTTTTAGCAAAGACAAACTTATTGCACTAGAGCTGTTGGCTTCGTAAGTATTGTCTGCTGATTTGCCTTGCATGCATGTTGTTGTAATTAATGCTACTTCAAGTCTTGTTGGTGCTTGGTCAATGGGCACTTGGATGGTTAAGGACACAGCCCTATGTACAGATCTGGAAAATCCTACAACTCCCAGTATTCTGGGGAATACTACTGACAATTGTAAGAGTTTTTCTGTCTAAACACGTATGGAATTGTGCCCTACTGCACTTGACTTAATGGGCTAAGACTATCTGATATTATACCTTACATCAAATGTTTCTATATATAAACAAAGTATATTTAAGCAATAAATGGCCCTATCTCTGTTTATATTATGTTTGTTTTTTATTATTCTCCTGCCCAGAAATTTTAATCAAGTGGTATGCCACTATATAATCAGTGCTGCTATTATGTATGTGAGAACGATTAACTGTTTCTAAACAAATAGTTTCTTTTTATAGCAATATTATTGATGCTCAGAATTATCGCCTTATTGAAGATCTATTCAGAACTAGCATGTCTGAAAAAAAGAGGTGCAGAAGAATTCTTGAACAGGTATTACTGGTTGCTTGGTCAGTGATTTGGAGTTTCCTGTATAAGAATCACAATCATTTTTTTAATTGGAGAGCCTGTGTGGTGCCGTGGTTAAGAGTGCAGGACTGGGATTCAGGTGATCTGGGTTCTAGTCCCCACTAAGCCACAGAGCTCACTGGTTGACTTTGGGCCAGCCACAAGCTCTCAGCCCAACCTGCCTCACAGGGTTGTGGTTGTGAGGATAAGATTGAGAGGTGGAGATTAATTATTTAAGCAGCTTTGAGTTCCTTGGAAGGAAAAAAGGCAGGGTATAAATTTAAGTATTCATGAGCCCCTATGTACAGGGTAGAAATGAATCCCTAAAGGAATGAAAAGCAGGTAGGAACTCAGAGATGAAATTCCACAGAACTTAAGATTTTCAAGACTACTGTGTGATTAGTATCTGTCTCCTCATCTGGATGAATTTGGTCTATGAAAAAATGGGGAAGAGTTTCACTACAAATGTTGTCTTTTCTTTTGAATATATAATTTGAACTTCTATTGCCATCAGTTCTATTGTTTATTACAGTGCTACAGTTCTTATGTTAGTGATCTGGGTAGATTTTAAAAGATGTTGGGCAGTATAGATTTATGTTGCCCACTTATGTGACAGCTTTCTAACACATTTCATTGACTAGAAGTTGTATTCAGTCTGTCACTAGCATTCCATTACCTAGAAAATCCTACCCCTGCTGTGTATTTTGAGAGATATGCATAATCATTTGCCAGAGGGGGTGTCTGACACTGTATGAAAGGCAATAGTTGGAAAGAGTAAGTGGAATCTGAAACTATAAGGCTAAGACAGGGCAGAGGATGTGGCCAGGAGCTATTTAACCCTATTAGAGGTGATTGCTAAAGATAAGAAGCACGAGCAGGGGTTTCAAAGACTTCTGAAAGAAACAAAGTATGGCATTTGAACACCAAAATGTGTGAGACAGGAGGGACACTTCACACTAGCAAACTACAGTTTAGTGTGTTCATAGCTACAGCTTGAAGATAGTTACCTAGGATTCCAAAAGTTGGAAAGATGGCATAATCAGGGAACATCTGCAAAATAGATGGATTCAAAGTAAAGTTAGCAATGAAGAAGGCAGTTGTATGTGCATCTGACTGATTACCCCTAAACAAAGTGAGCCTTTGCAAGGGTTGTAATTCTAGGCATGAGCTTCTTGAGAGCAATTGCTTCAGATACTTGCAGAAAGTAGAGAGAATGCTTGAAAAGTATTCCTCATCACAGGCAGGACAAGGAGGTGGGCACATCCAGTCCCTGCTGGAAGCAAGCATTTTGGCAGAAAACTGATGTTGGGCATAACCTTTTTGCTAGGGAGAAGGCTTATGCAGAGTGTAAGTGTCCCACTAGGGAATCAGGGACCCTTTGGTGCAAAAGGGGGCTTGCTGAGAAGTGGAGGGAAGATGCCTATTGCTACCACCTTTCTCTATTCTGATGCATAGTAAGTCCTGGGTCTTAGGAGGAAGAAAGGTGAACCAAGAATGAGCTGGCATGGTCCTGCTGAGATGGTTGCAACACTTCTAGAACTTAGTAGCCTAAACTTTACACCCATGCTGTTTGTGTACCTGCGTAAAAATGCTGGCTTACCCACTCAGTCATAAGTGTAACTGCGTTTTTGTTTTGGTTTTGCTTGTATTGCAGGCTTCCAAAGCAGGGTGCAAAGCACCTCATGCTATGATATCTTCCTGTGGTATGATTCTTGGAAACCCCTATCCTAAAGGGAAGCCCAGTCGCATAAATGGAGTTTTCCCAGTATGTATTGGCTTAGTGAATATTTATTTTTGGAACTGTGTTATAAACCCCTAATAAAGCAGCACTACTGTTTTTGAAATCTGCATTTTACTTCAATTGTCTACAAAGACAAAAGAAAAATCAGTTTTCATTTGTTTTAAATCTGTTTTTGTCAACTGATAATGCAACTTTCTTTCCTATTTAATTTTAAAAGCCATGTTAACAGGCCTGGAGGAAGGGAAATCAATCCCTCCCGCTTGCTCCATTGCTTCTATAAGCAGGACCACAGTCAAAAGATGCTTGAATTAATTTTGTTCGAGGCTTCCCTAGTTATATGCATCAAAAGTCTATTCAGATTTCATCCAAAAGGGGGAATTAATGCTCCATAATCAGTAACACACTTGTCTGTACACATCACAGAAGGAATCTTCTCCTCTCCAGGAAGTAACTGTTGCCTCAAGGAACTCCTGGATGAATAGGACATGATAAGCCCAGGGCTGCTACTCACTTTCTCTCACGCCCGCTGGCCTCCATTTTTGAGACCTCGTGGAGAACGGGTGAAGTTCCAGAGGACTGGAGGGTGGCATCAGTGATCCCAATTTTCAAGAAGGGTAGTAGAAGGGACATGGGGAATTATAGACCAGTTAGCCTTACGTTCATTGTAGGAAAAACAATGGAAAAGCTCAGAGAGAGAGCTAGTGATGCTAGATAGGGAAGGGAGGCTGACAGCCACACAACTCGGCTTCCGCAAAAACAGGTCCTGCCAGACAAACCTTGTGGAATTCTATGACAAGGTTTCGAGATGGCTAGATGGAGGGGATGCAGTGGATGTGGTATACCTGGATTTCAGCAAGGCCTTTGACAAAGTGCCCCATGATATCCGGGTGGAGAAACTGAGGAGTTTTGGGATACACCAAAGCACTGTCCAGTGGATTAGGGCATGGTTGACTGACTGAAAGCAGAAGGTAACCATTAGTGGGGAATCATCGGGATGGCGGCCAGTGACAAGCGGGGTCCCCCAGGGCTCTGTCCTGGGGCCAATCCTGTTTAATCTTTTCATTAATGACATGGAAGAAGGGGTGAACAGTCTGCTGATCAAATTCGCAGACGACGCTAAAACTGGAGCAGTGGCCACAACTGAGGAGCAGGTACTCCAGATCCAAAAGGATCTGGACAGACTATGGAAGTGGGCAGGAGACAACAGGATGGTGTTCAATGTGGATAAGTGCAAGGTCTTGCACTTGGGGCGTAGGAATAGCTGTCATAAGTACAGGTTAGGGGACAAGTGGCTGGAGAGCAGCACTTGTGAAAAGGACCTCGGGGTGCTGGTTGACTTCAGGCTAAACATGAGTCAGCAGTGTGACGCAGCGGTCAAGAGGGCGAACGCCACCCTTGGTTGCATAGCCAGAAGTGTGGCTTCTAGATCGAGAGAGGTATTACTGCCACTCTACATGACTCTGGTGCGCCCGCAACAGGAGTATTGTGCTCAGTTTCGGGCTCCTCATTACAGAAAGGATATAGCCAGGTTAGAGTCAGTGCAGCATAGGGCCACAAGGTTGGTGGCCGATTTGCAGGGGATGGGGTATGAGGCGAGACTGCGGGAACTGGGTCTCTTTAGCCTGGAGAAAGGGAGACTCGGAGGGGAACTGTTGGCAACATACAGGTATGTGAGGGGATGTTACATGGAGGTGGGTAGAGACCTGTTCTCCCCTGCAGAGGAAGGCAGGATGCGCTGCAATGGAGCAAAGCTCAGGGAGCCAAGGTTCCATTTGAATGCCAGGAAGCACTTCCTGACAAGTTAGGACCCCAAGGGTGTGGAATGGGCTTCCACGAGAGGTTGTTGAGGCTCCATTGGTGCGGGTGTTCAAGGATAGGCTGGACGTCCACATGGTGGGCATATTGTGAGCAGAGCTGGCTGGTGCCGGAGGTCAGACTAGATGGCCCGGGAGGCCCCTTCTGACTCGCTCTGTTTCTATGTTTCCCAACAATCCCTCATGCTGGCTTGCAACTAAGACACAACTCTGCTCATTTCCTGAGTTTTCCTTGCTCTGCAACGCAGAGCTAACAAGTTGCTTATTCAGTCCAACCAGCAGTTTGCCAATAAGGAGAGAAAGCAAAGGTTACACCAACTATCCAAAACCCTAGTTCATAGGTTTCTCAGCTCAACACTGGCTTTGGGAATATTAATTTCTATTAGTGTGCCCATGTGGACCTGTCTAACCATGTTCCTGGTAGTATCCAACATTAGTCTTGTGTAGAGCAGACCCATTGAAATGACTAACTGAAATTCCATTTATTTCTGTACGCCCACTCTGCATAGAATTAATGTTGGATACTATTCTTTTGCTTCCCAGTGCTGAATTAGATGCTTAATAGTGAATTGTGTTTATTTTCCAGGGATCTCCTGTCAAAAAGGAGAATGAAGACTATAGTAATGAAGGCAAGGGAATAGCAGGTCGTATTCTTGGACCATCTAAACCAGTATGTTTCAGTCATGAAACTAGTAGAAATATAATCATTACCCTTCCTTGTGCTATTGAATAGAATTAGTTGGGGAAGAACTGGCAGCAAGGTGAAAACAGCATAAATGTAGTATTTGTTACTATTGTGCAATGGTTGGTGACTAAAAAATATTAAGCTAAAAAGAGCAAACTCTGTCTCTGCATACACACTGGTTTTATAAGAGCTATTAAGGAAGGGGTAAATGCACAAAAGGAATGAGGAGGAGAGGAGAGGGCAAAGGTTTCCAAATACTGTTTGAATGTAACATAGGAGAGGTGCCAATGTCAGGGAATCTGTTGCCTCTTTTAGCATTATCACAAGTGTTCCAAAGCACCAGGCACTAGATTTAGAGCAGGGGTCCTCAAACTTTTTCACCAGGGGTCAGTTGAAAGGTGCTGGTGCTGGGTGGGGGCTGGAAAGGTGCTGGTGGGGCACTCGGGGCCGGGGGGGCAGTGCATGTGGGTGCACACGGTGAGGCGGGCAGGGAGCGCTGCAAGGGGAGGCAAGGCATGGGTGGGCACTCGCCGCGAGGAGGGTGCACGAGGCAGCGGCTTGCTCGCTTAGAGATCATTTTGTCTGAGCGAGCAAACAGCTGCCTTCCTGCGCGCGGGCAAGGTGGGCAGCGGCAGGCGCATGCAGGGCGGGTCCCAATGGGCATGATGAGCCAGATAAATGGGCATGGTGGGCCGGATCCAGCCCTTGGCCTGTAGGTTGAGGACCCATGATTTAGAGTATCAGTAGAATACAAATGAGGCAAACAGAGAAAGAGAAATCAAGGGCCAGTGAAGGAAGTAGAATAAAGGAGAAGTATGTCTTGGTTGTGCATGACCTTGGTTATTATTAAATGTTAGATTTTCAGTTTGACTAACAATTGTCCCTCTTGTTTAGGCTCCAGCAACATACAACCCACATAAACCTGTTCCTTACCCTATTCCTCCTTGTCGCCCTCATGCAACAATTGCACCAAGTAAGCGCTTTATTTTTGTTTGTTGTCTGTGATTACTCTCATCTGTTAGTATTACTACTGTGGAAGCTTCTGCATCCGTCACATGCCGACCATAGCCTATTATTATTTAAGTTATTTTCTTTGTCTTAGATACCTTGACCTTTTTGCTCTTTTTGTGGAATAGAACCCTGTTGTGGTGCTTAGAGTTCAAGCTCCTGACTATTTTACGTATTTTGAAATATTTCTGCATTTTTAAAATGTTAATTCAAGATGGCTTGCATAACAACATACCATATAAGCAAAAACATGAAGTATAAAATTAAAGTAACATCAAAGAAAACATCCATAATTGGAGCTAAACATTACTAAAAAAACATAACCTGTCTAGAGCTCTGGTAAGCCCTATTGAGACAGGCTTGCCTTCCTTGTCACCTTTTTGGCACCATATGAAGACTTCCTTTATTCTCCCTTGCTTTGAAAAAACCTGTGGTTTTAATGAATATGTAACTTACGTCCCTTTAGTTATGAGCTATGTACTTCAGATTTGTCTGTCTTCTTCCTTCTACCAGAAAAGGTCTATGTTGCAAACTGATTTTATGATATGGTAATTTTAAACTTTGTTCTGTTTTGTGTGCCACCCAAAGAACAATATTATTGGACAGCTTTAACTCCCAATTAATGAACTATAGTTAAGAAAAAAATAAAGGACAAGGAAACCTTTGGTTAAAGGAGAGCCATGGCTTTGCTGGTTGTCTATAAGAATAAAGTGCTGAGGCCTGGTGAAACTTCCCCTGGGCGGACATTTCATAAATGGGTGCCAACCACCAAAAATACCATGCTTCCTAGTAACTGCTAACTAAATCTCATTTGGCAGTGGTAGCTTGTGCAAGACCTAATGTTAGGGGAGCAGGGGCACAATGTCAGGAAGATGATTGTCCTTAGAATATTAAGGAATTGATATGCTACCCTAGGAGGGGATTCTTAGTGTATAACTTTATTGTTACACCATCGTGTTTTGTCTTCTGTTTCCCTTACTAGGTGCTTACAACAACGCAGGTCTTGTTCCCCTGGCTAATGTCATAGCTCCTGGTTTGCCAGCTCCACCGCCATATATGCCTAGTCATGTAGGAACAGGTAAAGCAGGTATCCTCAGAAAGCCCAGTGTATCTTGGCATAACCAAGAGGCTGTGCAGGTGGCTGGGCCAACAATTTGCTAGGCTCCAGCAAGTCACTGCCAAGCTCTCCACTTGTACCCACTATAGTTTTCAAGGGGTGGAAAGTGAGATGTCTGCTCTGGGATCTCTCTGCTTCTGATTTAGTTTGTAACTCACCCAAAGAGCTTTATGGCTAATGGGGCAGGATAATGTCCAATAAACAAATAAATTTATGAAAAGTATTGTAATCCCACTTGGCAGCCAAAAGGCTCCTAGAGTAGCTTACAAATAGTCAGTTAAAAAAAAAAAAACAAGTCCCTGCCCACATGCCTAGAATTTCCAACTTGCACAAGGAGGAAAGAATAGGAAAAGAAGAGAAAAGGAAGGCTGTGGTCTTTCTTCAGCATGGTAGAATGGCCCCGCTTCCCTCTCTCCCCTCCCTCAGTGCAACCTGCTAAAATGGCCGCTGGTGGTGATAGTTAAAGGGATGGGAGGAGCTGTCATGGGGGTGGGTCTTTGCTGCTGTCTCCTTATCAGTCTCTAAGAGATACTGCTGCATCTGAGGCAGAGGCCTGGGGAGAGATGCCACAGCTGGGGGAGAAGCAAGCAGAAGGGAGGGCAGGAGGCTTTGTCCCTCACAGCATTAGCAAAGGGGGAGCCTGAGCTATGTACATGGCTTAACCAAAGGGTACCCTAGCAGTAATTGGAAACCATTGTTTCTATGGCAGGAGTAAACCACTGCTCTTGAGGACTGTGTTGGAGATGTCCCATGTCCCTAATACAATGAGCCCTTTCTCCACTGCCGAGGGATTGGATTGGGGAAATGTCTTGGTTCTCTTTTTCTCCCAGTCAAATATTATGTTTGTATACCACCTTTTCTTCCAAGGAACCCAAGGTGGCTTACATAATACTCTTCTCTATTTTATCTTTGCAACAACCCTGAGGGAGGTAGATTAGGCTGAAAGTCAGTGACTGCCCCAACCAAGGTGATACAATAAGCTTCAAGGCCAAGTGGCAACTAGAACATTCCAACACCACATCATACTGGTTTCCCAAATTGATGGCTATTATATTTGTTTTAATAAAACCAGTGTAAAGTGGGTCTTAATGTTTTGTTTTTTAATAGGTAGTCTTGTTAGTATTCTCTTTTCCCCTAATTAATTATTGTCCTTTATGTAGAAAATGAAGAAATTTCCAATCAGGCAAAACCTTCCCAAAGCCAAGGTAAGCTGTCCACTTGCAGAGACTAGATTTAGTAACTTAAAATTGCATTTAAAGAAAGTATGCGTTATTTATTCTTTTGAATGCTGCTTTATTAAATGAAAGGGAATCTGTTCATATCTTAATAGCACCAAATTTAACATAAGCAGCTAAATGTGCCAAAATGATTTTTAACAATTGCTTACAAATTATTTTTCTAAAGTTGGCTCTTAAGTGTCATTTAATGTGCATGTCATAACAGGAAGCTGAGTTGCAGGAAAAAATACCAAATAATTTCTCAGAGCATTAGCAATTAAGATACAAAAGTATTTGGTATGTAAAATGTTTCATTGCTTTTCTCAGTTGAAATATATCCTCCTTATTATCACTGTCTGCTTTTGAGCATTGCTGAATAAGATGCAAAGGAGTACTGCCAGTTCTTAGAAGTGTGGTAGTCTCTGTAAGTGCATTTAGTTCTGTTAATAAGGCAACCAGTATCAACACTAAATGAATTTTGTTGAGTTTTTATGGCCAGTATGGTTCAGTATATTTTCCCCCTGAATGAAGCATAAGATTGGGCCATGAAGCCGAGTTCTGTTAAAATACAGACATGGGGATCGGGGAGTTTGCAAGTTTCACACTTCACCTAACAAGGTTAAAAGATTTGTTTAGAGCAAGAGGACAGAAACCATATTTGCTCTCAACAGTATTCAGCCGATTTTTGTTGTTGTCGTTGTACTTAGTTTAAGGAGAAGCAGCAAGCATCCCCTCTATACAAGAAATTCTAATAAAACTTCATTTAGACTCTAAGCCCGTGCACATTTACCTGAGAGTAAAGCACATTGAATTCAGTTGGTCTTTCTTCAAAGTTACATGTGCATAATATTATACTGTTAAACTTGCTCACTTTCCGTTTAACAAAGAAATTCAGTGCAAACAAGAAATAAGCAAGGGGAATTAAAAAGATTGTATAACTGTTACCAGTGAGGCTCACAGACAAATAAAAACTACTTTGGGGTCTCATTTGTTACTCTAAACAGCCCTGCTGTAGTAAAGCCTTTCTGCCTTTCATGAGCTTGTGCATACTTCTGTTTGCATTCCGTCTGAAAAGTGAAGGCTAAATTCACTACATGGCAGAACTCTCTGCATCATTTGTAGTGGGACACACAGGTGAGGGGAGAAATCTTCCTGCAACCTGAAGTGGCCTGTCTTGCAACACATCACTTTTCTTCTTTGGCAGAAAAATAATAAGGTGAATTAGAACATGACTGAGATGGCAAAGCTATGCAAGTCATTATATACAGGCACCCACAAAGAGGCACAGCATACTCTGTGTCCAAATACAGTGGATTTCCTGATTATTCATTGTTTTTCTCCCTCTGTTCCCACCCACACCCTTTTAATACCAGAAATGTTGCTACTTTAACTTCTAAATCAAACTGGAACTAATTTAAAACATTTTTGACATAGCCTCACAGGAAAACTGAAAATCATTGGTGACAGCCATGACTTCAATTACTTAATAAGCTTGCTATAAAGAGAGGTCGCTTGTTTTTTCTCCCTGTTTAGCAGAACTAGTGAAAGGTTCTGTTCCTTAGTTGGTTAACAACTACCACAGCATCTTTACCCAGAACTAATGGCCACCTTTCTACCTTTGCCCCTCACCATGCTTCCTAAATTAATAATTGCTTTTCTCCCTTCTTTGAAAGTGTAAAAACTCCCAACATTTCCTTAGTGCAGCATGCTAAATTAGGATGTTTGAGTGCCCTCTGGAATTGATTATGCTTCCAGCAATATTGTGATATGAAATTTGATAAGTGGAATTGTATGTGCATATTTTTCTTTTATTAAAACACAAATTACAAATATTTGTAAAACTTGACAAAAGTGAGCAGTTCACAAATAAACTTTTGGACTAAAATCATTGCCATTCTCTCTCTAAATCTGCTGTGCTGGCTGTTTCTGATTTTCAAACAATACAGCTATAATTATCAAATCAGAGCCCAGTATCAGTAATGGTTGCTTTCTTGCTGCAGCACAGCCCTTCCCTTGCCCTATGAAGATAGTTGAACAGTTAACTGATGTCAACTATAGCCAAGTTTAACTAGGATTATTTCATTATATAACATGGAGCTTATTTCCAAGCATGATTAAGCCAAGGCTGTTTACATTCTCTGGCCAAAAGAAATTTGTAAGAATTATTCTAACATACTCATTTAGCAAAGGAGCTCAGATTCCGCTGTTTCTGGAAAAGTCTCTTTTTTACAATAACAAGGGCTAGAAAACAAAACCCCCAAAAGCAGAGGTACTCAAAAATCTAAATCTATTTTCAGAAAATTAAAAAGCCTTTGGAATAAGTTACCCCTACTAGTAAAGCTGACTAATGCTGATTGTAGGTATCAAAGCTGTAGGCATTAAATCAAAATATTAATTCTGAGTTTAAGGCATCAGTTGTCAATAATGCCAAGCAGGTCTCTCCACAGTACATTTGGCTCTCTGTCCAGTTTGCACAATATCCATGCACAAGGCAAAAATGGGTCTTGTGCTTGATACCACACAAATCTTGAACCCACGATGTTTATGCAGACATAACTTTGTACTGTGAACATACACAATAATGGACATCAGCAACCAAGGAATATGGGGATGCAATTGATATTGAATGAAATGTACTTGTTAAAGAAGCAGCAGCAACTGAACCAGTGATTGTGTTTCATTTTGCATATCATTTAAGCTTTTTGTAAGCGGTGGAAGCATCTTTTATTTTGCTCCTGTACCTGTTAGTTGCTGTGTAAACTCAGTTAGAATGCATTCAGGCTGAATACAAGCATTTCTGCTACTAGTTTCCAAGAATTCTTACTGGTTTTGTTTCTTTCCAGCTTTTGCTACACAAACGAATCATCTCTTTACACCTCATGGTTCTAACCCTGCTGCTTCTCCAGCCCCAACCCCATCATCTGTTAAGGCAATAAGCCATTCATCAGCACTTCCATCTCCAACTGTCCCAGGGATAAGCATGTCCACCCCTGTCCACCCTGTCTTCCCTGGGCAAGTTATCTCTGTTCATCCTCCCCAGCCCTCGCCTCCCACCCCTCCTGTCATCAAATCCCACCCACTGCCTGGTGTTCCTGCAACATCTGCTCACTGTGCAACTTCCACTCCACTCTCTACAACTTTCTCAGGGCTGGCTTCTGTTCTGCCTGCTGCAGCAGCTCCACAAGGGCTCGCTACACCATGTGCTACTTCTGCACCTAATGAAACTTTTGCATCTTCCTCTGTTCCATTTGCAAGCCTGCCTTTTTCCACAGCATCTGTCACAGCTTCAGCTAATAATCCTAATTCATTGTCATCTACTTTTTCTGGCCTGCCTTTGTCCTTGACGCCCACTCCACAGGGGATAGCTAGTCCTGTTCCTTCTGCCATTGCTGGTTCTCCAGCAACTAGCCTGCCATGTCCCCTTAACTTTCCTAGCCCACTTCTGTCTGTCTTAAAGGGGTTTCTGTCAGTAAATGATAGTTCAGTAATGAATTCAGCTGCTCTGCCTTCTGCTGTGACTGCTGAACTTGCTTCTTTGTCTGGTCTTGCTAGCCAGAATTCGGAAGCCTCCTCTTCATCTGGTAACAAATGTTACACTCCAACTGCTACCTCTGCTCTTCAGCATCCTTCGACTTCAGGGCTGTCAATTTTCCCAGGACTCCCATCTCAGCCTGGAGCTAACAGTAGCGCAACTCCTCCTGTATTGCCAGCACAGCCCCCTTTAACCACGTTGCCATCTTCTCTTATGCCAGTCAGCTGTGTCTCCTCAGTTGCTCTTCCACATTGTCCAAGCCCTGCTAATCCTGAAAAGCAGGGCTCATCTACCCCAGTTGCCACAGCAGTCCCAGCTCTAATTAAAACCGAGCCCACAAGCCCGACCCTTTCAGGTTTCAAAGCCCCTGCACATTCTGCCGGGCCAACTCATAGCACTTCAGGCTTGTCAGCACTTGGCCATGCATATACCTCAGCTACTTCATTGCCAGGCAGCTTACCTAGTTCCCTTAATCCAGCACTATCCAGCCTATCCTCCTTCAGTGCTCCATTAAACAGCTCCCCTTCCATTGCCCCGCATGGTTCATCAGCACCAATAGCTCCAGTATATAACGCACTTCCTCCTTTCACTTCACTCACTAGCAGTTTTGCTTTTACAGGCAACCCAGCACTTACCCCAACAGGGTCTTTGTTGCCCATTACGCCTACGACTACATCAGCCATTTCTGCACCTCATGTGAGCTCCACAACCACTGTTCTCCCCACACTCATTGCTTCGGCAGCTGCGCCAGCTCCACCGTTTCCCCTTAACTTGTGCAGTGCTGTCCCTTCCCTTTTTTCTGTTCCTCAAGTACCTCTAGGATCATGCAGCTCATCCTTCCCTCCTTTCCCTGTCTCTAACACTCCCTCTGTCACTCCTGCTCTCCCTTCTTTCCCTGGGCTCCAGGCATCTTCTACAGTAGCAGCAGTCGCACCACTGCCAGCAGCTGCCACAGCCCCATCTCCAGCTCCAGTACTACCAGGGTTTGCCTCGGCCTTTAGCTCAAACTTCAACTCTGCACTTGTTGCACAGGCTGGGTAGGTCATTTTGTACCAAGAGGTCAATTAGTCTCTTTTGCAGATCTTTTATTGTTGTTGTATATGGTTGTGAGAGCTAAACATAAATTATAAGCTATAGATAATTCATGTTATATTGTTCCTTAGTTCTCTGTTGCAGTTGAAAGTTCTAGACATACCTGTCAGTAGTACACAGCTCTTTAAGTTTACTTTAAATCTACTGCATTCAGGATAAGAAATAGTGAATGACCTCCTAGTGGAGGATATTTATCTCTTAATTTGCACTAGAATCTCCTGGAAAGATCATGCTATAGGAACTGACAAAGATGGCCTTGGACAGTATCTAACATATCTGGCATAATCCAGGTATCAAACATCAGCAATAAAATTTGCACGTGCAAAACACTTCTTAGCCTAGAGATAACAAATCTATGTAATACTGCAATACACAAAGAGATCTATGTATATATAAGCTTGTGATCATAGCTTGGAACTGAATAACTATAAAACTCTTGGAAGAGTTTTGTACGTGAAACTGCCGTTGTATTGTCTTGTAGAATTGAATTTGTTCCCCATCTATTTCAGCCTGAATTCTGGGCTTCAGGCCCCTGGAAATACAGTTTTCCCAGGACTCCTGTCTCTTCCTGGCATCCCTGGACTTGCCCAAAGTGCTACACAGTCTTCTCTACAGGAACTTCAGCACAGTGCAGCTGCACAGTCAGCATTACTGCAGGTAAATATAATACATAGAATGAAAAAACTAGTTAGTTTGTATATAGGTAACTACAGACTAGGAAGGTAATAGAACTCCACAGCAAGGGCACTAATATCTACAAGGAGAATCAATATAAATGCATGTCATGTACATACATCTGTAAGAAAATACATCCATCCATGTGTGTGTGTATATATTGGTAAGCTTAAGTGTGAATTAAAGTGCACAAAGTTGAATCTATGGAAGTCCTACTTGTTTGTTTTTGCATTTATATGCTGCCCCCTACTCCTAATGGAATTTCTTAGCAAAGACCCATTGAAATGAATAGGACTTAAGGAATTCATTCATTTAATGGTCTAAGTAGGACTAACATGAGTTATAAACTAATGTATGACTATTGTGGAATACATGACAATTATGATACTGAAATTTTGAGGCAACTTTCCTTAGAACATGGCTGCCAAATTTGGGTTTTAAGGGCCCTGCTTGTTTTTTAATCTCTTTTTCTTGTTGTCTGTTTTCCATAAAGGCACACACTGCATCTGCCCTGGAGAGCTACACATCTCAATCAGACAGTTTTACTACATATCCCCCAGCACCAGGGACACCTGGAACACCTTTTTCATTGCAAGCAAGTCTTCCCCAGAGTGGATGGCAATAAATAACATCCATTTCATGTACAGAGAGACCTTTCTGCAAAGAATGCTGTGGTAGTTTGGCAAAGTCACTGATGATGCATTCATTGAACGTTTAAAGAAAAGAATTCTTGACTCAATGTGGAGTACCCAAGAGGAGGAGATGGATTCCAAGTAATAGTTTCTGACAGGCTACAAAAATGGATTACTGTTTACTTTTTATCAAAACTCTTATGAAGCACTGAGTGTCCTTCTTTCTCTTTTAGGTAATATTGAGGATATTTGGATCCTCACAGGATCTTTTAATGTGCAAATGTCTGACACAATTTTTTTAATGTCTTTTCTGGGAAACAGCATTGCATCGGTTTTCAGGATTTTATCTCTGCAGTATCATGTGTGGTATGTGTATCCTGCATTGTCTACAGTCAGTTCCAGTTCCCCTTTTTCATCTCATTTCCCACACCCTTTCCTATTCATGGCTGCTGAAATATATCACAGAAATATTTATCATCTTGTCCATATTCTTTACACCTACATGCAACCTAACCTCCATCAATATTTCTTTAGCCTTCTAGGATGCTAGGGACTCTTCAAATCCAGATAGGTATTCAGTTTTTTAAAAATAAACTTTGTGCAAGTCCAGATTAAGTGCACATTTCCTTTAGGTCATTAAATATATTTTACAGATCAAGATTGGTGTTCTGTGATTAACATTTTTTGTGTGTCATTCATGAACAAAGCATTGGTAACAACAGCACTAGTGTATGAAATGTCATGTCAGATGCCACCTAACGTGTCAAAGACCTGCTGATTTGTGAACCAAGTACTTGATTTTTATTGTTAAAACAAACACATGATGCAGATAAGAATGAATTCTTGGGTTAAACTTAGTAAATGCAAACACACACATACAGTTGGAACTTGGGTTCTGATACCGTCGTTGCCCAGTGTCACTCCAGGTTATGCCAAGCATTTAAAGACCAATTTTTCATTCTAGCTAGGAATTATAAAATACAAAATATGCTCTTGCTGTGTCAATTAAGTGCTCTATACTGTTTAATATCTTTAGTGATGAGTAGAAAAATCCCCAATCATCTCTTTTTAAGGAGTCATTTTTAAGGAGTCTAGATCTGCAGTAGCGGTATAATACTTGGCTTTCTTTCTAATGTGAATTCTATGAAAGATTTTGTTGCGGTTGCATAGTTTAACATATTTTTTGTCTGAAGATGGAAGTCTACTGGATAGTATTACTGATGTAGAGGATTTCCACAATGACAGGCATGAATAACACTAGAGTGTGTGTGTGTGTGCGTGCGCGTGTGTGCGTATATAATCTGTATTTTTATAATGTTTTTTAAAATAAAATGTGTAGCAGTGGCACACATGTTTCTAAACTAGACCTGAATAAAGTTATTTAGAAAAATTGATGTGTTATTAATTCACTTTAAGTGAACTGTTTAGATAGGGCTCCATCCAATATCATGTGAGTGGACTTCTGCTCACACAGTGGAGCTGCCCTGCCATTTGTGGCCCTCAGCGGTTGTCTCAACAGTTCCAGCCTATGACACTGGCTTTCTCACTAGCCACATCCAGACCCTGGATTATCTGATTCTCTTATAGGCAGGATACACAAAGGAACACAGAAATATTAGATACATGAGGCAGAACTTGTAAACCTAAATAATAGTATAAGGATTCTAATCAGTAAACAATGTGTTTGTAGAACTGGCTTTATTATACTGTCAGGAAAAAGCAGTCTGGAAGAGGGATGTATTGTCCTTGGTCCCCCTTTACTGTAGCAGTCAATACAGTACATTTGAAAACAAGTTGTAGAAACTGAGCCACCACCAATAAGAGCCTTATCTCTTAATACAAGTGGGCATATGAACAGGATGTCTGAAGGTGATCTTAAACTGGTCTCAAGATTTTTAAGGTTTTAAACATTAATACTATCCTGGAAATGCACTAGTAAACCATGCAACTGGTGCAAAATTTGTGTTAGATATCCCAGCATCATAGTTTCTGCTAACATTAGCAAAGTCCTATTTCCATGACTGAAACTTCTGAGTTATCTTTGAAGATAGTCTTACATAAAGCACATTATACTGCAATTTGTCTGGAGTTAGTCTGTATAGCTGAAGCCAGGTCCAAGCCAATAGAGTGGCACTCCACCCCACATCCTTCTCAGCACTGTAAAGTGCAAAAGGAGAGCAAACTTTGTTAGAGTTGTTTTGCTGGAGCACAGATGGTGAAAAAAAGTAATACCTCAGACTCCTCTGTGGCAAATTGGTATGTTTAACATAATTTCAAACCTGTTAGATGTAATTACCCATAACCCTGTATTATGTGGTGCCTTTTCATCTGGATTAATTGAAGATGCGGTGGAAATACAGTACTGGGCACAGGGGGTTCTGGTTGTATCAAAAGTTATCTGACTTGGAGGAGTTTCACTGAAATTAATAGGACTTAACATGGCAAGGAGATTTCAGATTGTCAAAGAAGCTGAGAGCAATGCCATCAGGAGGCCAGAATAATCTCACTAGGCTGGTCTGCTAGCAAGGTAACCCAAGGTGGAATGGTCATGAGTCAGGACTGAGACACCACACTAAGATGCATCCATCCTCTTCAGGAGGTAAAGATCACAACAGCAAAAAGAGAATGGATCTTATAGAAGCAGAGAAACTTCTGAAAGGCAGCTCCTGGGCAGCAGCGGTTATTTATTTCATTTTTATACTGCCCAGTAGCAGAGCCAGCTGGAGCCGGGCATTGGAATAGATGGCCCGGGAGGCCCCTTCTGACTTGCTCTGTTTCTATGTTTCAAGTACAAAAGCTGAATATTAAGAAAACCAAAATTGTGTCCGCAGAAGAATTAGAGAACTTGACTGTTAATAAGGAAGAAATCTAAATTGTGAAAGATTGCACATATCTCAGCTTGGTCATTAATTCAAAGCAAGACTGCAGCCAAGAAATATGAAGAAAACAGACTTAGAAGGGCAGCAATGAAGGAACTAGAAAAGATTGTCAAATGTTCTTTTCTACTGGACTTTTACTTGAGACCAAGGTCAAGATCACCCAGACCATTACATTCCTGATCACAATGTATGACTGAAAGCTGGACAGTGAAAAAAGTTAATAGGAAGGAAATTGATGCATTCAAAACATGGTGCTGGGGAAGTTTGCAAATACCCTGGAGCAACAGAAAGACAAGTGGGTCCTAGATCAAATCAAGCCAGAGCTTTCCCTAGAAGCAAAAATTACAACACTGAAGGTGTCATACTTCAAACACATCATGAAAAAAGCAAGACCCATGGAAGAAATCAGGTTAAGGAAGGCAGAAGATGAAAGAGAAGATCAAATACAAACTTGGAACAGCTGAACAGAGCTGTCATAGACAGGACATTTTGGAGGGTATGCGTTCATAGGGGCGCCATAAGTTGGAGACAACTTGATGGCACGTAACTGTTCCAAGTAACAAGTCTCATTCATTTCAATGGGGCTACTCTAAGTAGGGCTATCACTAAGAATCCTCTGCCTTTAAATCGTAGGTTTTGATATGTAGTTAGATATACTTGTTAAACCACTAGCTCTGCCAGACTGGTTACTGAGGTCTTGAATGCAAATTTATTCTAAACTCTTTATTTTGTAAGGCTGGGATGTATATATTGATCTTGCTTAAAATTCTAGGGTCTTTTGGTATGTTTAATTTTAAATAGCAGCAACGTTTCTATATATCACACTCAATTCTTCAAACAGACTGTTTCCTTGAATAAACCCAGCTGGACTGGAAACTAGCAGAAGAGTGCCAGTGTGGTGCAGTGGCTAAGAGTGTGGAACTGGGGATAAGGAAACCTGGATTCTACTCCCCACTCAGCCAGGGAGCTCCCTGGGTGACTTTGGGCCAGTTACAGACTCTCAGCCCAACCTACCTCCCAGGGTGGTTGTGAGGATAAGAATTATGTAAGCCGCACTGAATTCCTGAGAAGGAAAAAAGACGGCATATCAATATAAGTAATGGAATGAATACGAAGAAACGCCTCAGGAAGGGGAGAATTACAGCAAAAAGCGTCCCGCTCTGTACCTTCAGCCGGATGGGGAGCTACCCCAATCCATCTTCAAGCGGCTCGTCGCCCTGTGCAGGCGGGCAGGCAAGGCGCCTCGCTTTCCGACAGGACCGTGCGCGCGCACCGAGTTTGCCACTCCGGTCGCGGTTGTGACGGAGCCGCCATGGGCGACGGCAGTTCTGCACATGCGCTTTCTAGGCTCCGTGAAAGAGGTCGGGCTGGAGGCGGGCTGACTTTCGGGCGATGATGGAGTCGGCGGTGGAAGAGTTGATGCCCAGACTCCTGCCTGTGGAGGACTGTGACCTCGCAGAGGATTTCGACCCCACCGTGCCGCCCAGAACACCCCAAGAGTATTTAAAGCGGGTCCAGTAAGTGGGCCAGTCGCGTGTGCCCAATGCATTGGAAGGAAAGCAGAGGTCGGGGTTGGGGATGGGGCTGCCCTCAGTGAGTGGACGAAGGCGGTGGGGGTTGCTCTGGCGACCCCTGTGAAGGGGATCGTGCAGTTTTCCCTACGGTACGGTAGTAGGGAGCAGCGAATCCCCTCTTTACGGAGTGGGAAATCATGGATACGTTTGCCACGATTAATACGTTTATGGTTCGCATACAGATGATTTAGGAACTGTTGTGTTCGGACCTGCCAAGATCTGGCAACTGCTATTTCAAGAGGTTGTGCACCTTTCTCAACCCGGTGCCTTCCAGATGTTCTAGACTTCGATTCCCATCAGCCGCAGCCAATATGGCCAAGAACTGTGGGAGCTATAATCGAAAAAGATCTTTCTCTCTTGCGACATGCACATGGTGGGCATGTCGTGAGCAGAGGCGGCTGGAGCCTGGGGTCAGACTAGATGGCCCGGGAGGCCCCTTCTGACTCCCTCTGTTTCTATGAAAACACCCAGAGGGCACCCATTTCAGGAAGGTGGGCACACAGCCTACTTTAGTATTCTGTGCTACTTTTTGTACGTATATGCCAGCCTTATGGAACAAAATATATTATTAATGAAAAAAAATTGCCATCATAAATCTAATGTGTTCTGCTCCATTTATGCTGGTCCTTTGGGATCCTTGGTGGGAGGTTTTTCTTAGATTGTCCCTCAAACTGTCATAAATAAGGGTGCAGACCAAACAAATTTAATCAGATGTTGAAAACTAAAATCATACAAAAATTAATGGCAATAAGAGTTTTAAGCTAAAATAGACTGGTGTTTTGGCCCTGCCCCACTTCGTCCTCAGCCAACCCAGCTCTGGAATCTACCCAAAATGCTTTTCCAAAATTGAATTTGATAGTCAGGTTGAAAGATGTTCAAGAACCCTGCTAAAAGTAGTTACTTTGTAGTGTCCCTGTTTGTTGGATATTTTGTAGGGTGGCCAAGTTCATATGGTATTTTTAAATATGGTAAAGGACAAGCATTTTTGGATAATTCCCATGCTAAGCTTCTCTACAAAAGGAAAGGTGTTCCAAATTTCAGGCATTTGCTTTTGTTTTGTAGGATTGAAGCAGCAAAATGCCCTGATGTTGTTGTTGCCCAGATAGACCCAAAAAAATTGAAAAAGAAGCAGACTGTGAATGTTTCGGTAAGTTTTTAAAGACATGTGGATCTGTAAACTTTTTTAGTGGATTCAGGGTGGAAAAGTTAAATGGGGAGATATATTTATATCTGATTGCCCTCTTGTTCAATTTTAAGACTGGACCCACTATTGAAACTTCAAGTTCAGTTGACAAGATGCTATGCATGCGACTTATCCAGTGCTTTTTAAGGCTTGTCAGTCCCAGCCTAAACAACTTCCACAATCTATGCAACTATCTAGCCCGCTGGAACAGAATTTGAAAAGGCAGTGCTATGGCCCAATCTTAAAGGAACAGTTTAGAATTCTTAATGTAGTTTTTAGTTGATGTAGCTTTTATTTTCTTAGCTTTCAGGATGCCATCCTGCCCCTGAAGGATACGCTCCAACTCTGAAATGGCAACAGCAACAAGTGGCTCATTTCTCAGCTGTTCGCCAGGTAAATGGAACAGACACATACAAATCCTATGATCTTGTATGAAGTTTTTGCTGGTACATTCTTATACCCAGTTTGACCTGGAGTACTCTGAGCTCATAGTGCCTGTGAAGGGAGGGAAGAGGTTGCCCTGATTCTGGCAATGTAGGCAAGGATAAACAGTTATCTCACTTAGCTGTTGCCACCCCTAATGTACACCTTAATCTGAGCCAGGGGATTCTCACATTACAGGACACCTCTAGG